CCCCCCCCCCTTCTTCCCTTTTCATCTGTATCTCTGTGCCTTCTTCCTTTTCTCTCTCCATCTCCTTCAGCTCCTCTGCCCAGACTGGCAGCTTCATTTCCAACACCTTTCCTCTGCTGTGCCCAAAATAAGCAATGAGCTAGTTTTACAGATGCATTTGTGTTAGACTTAGGGTTATGTACTCCTCATAGTTACCAGTAACTGCACTGGTGTGGGTTGTATGATCCCCAGCCAGCGGGTGGGAGGGTTCTGGAGCAGATCTCTCCCTCCATCCCAGCAGGAGGAGATCCACCTGCCAGGGAGCAGGATCTGTAGGAGGGAGACCTGTCCCAGGGGCTCCCCCTGCCTCAGGGCTTTCCTGCAGAGCCCTCTGGGGGATGCTGGGGCTCTGGAGGCACACCTGGAGCAAGCTGTGCTTTTGGGAATTGCTGGGACCTGCTCGGATGGATAGGCAATGTGCTGTTCATGGACAGCTTGCTTCACCTGAGCAGACAGACATATACAGGCTCGGGACAGTGTTTGAGACAGACAAGCGATTTAAAAGGTAGCAAATAATTGTTGAAGAATTCAGTTTTTGTCTCAGAAAAATATAAACTGCAATGTCAGCATGTGGGTGTTTGCATGTGTTGAGCCCTTTGAACTACAAGGCATACCGCTTTTGTGAGTCAACTTCTCCAAATTATTAACAAAAAAGTTCAGACTTCACAGTTAGTCCTCTGTGGTAACTATGAAAATGGGGGCAAGGCATCAGTTGGCAAGTATTTTAATATTTTTTTTTATTAATGCATTACAACTTCAGTTGGAATCATAACCATCAGCAGGTGCAGCTCATTTTCTTTGTAATATTCAGTACGAGCCTCCATTTTTAACTGCATGGTTTGCAGTAAGAGGAGATGTTGATAATTATACTCTCGAAGCTATTAAGAATTGCATTAATGTATGAGACTTATGATTATCAGTTTCCTAACACTATTAGGGAAAGAAGTTCTAAATCACTCTTACACGGAATTACTTTGCCTGCCTAGTAAGGGTATATTGCAGTAATTAAGATAATGTAATTTTTTATCATCCCTTTGTTGA